CTGTGCTGCTTGGTGGGCTGGTCTCTGTGGAGACAGAGGTCTTGGAGGTGCTGCTGATGGAGGTGGCGGCTGTGGTCTTCTGTGTGGTCAGAGGTTGCTCAGTGTATGGCTCAGTTGACTTTTTATGGGTGAAGGCTGTTGGGAGGAAAGCACAGGTAGGTCAGTTGTATGTTGCTGATTTGATGAGAAGTTGGGTGACTTCTACAGTTCCAGAATTGGCAAGGGAGGAGGATGCAGTCAGGGTCATGTGTTGGTCAGTCCTATGACCTGCTGGTATCCCACGAGATTAACAGTGGGAATTGGGTACAATACCAAAACTGAGGCCTGTGTGGGACACAGGCTGCCTAGGAGAGAATGATGGGATCTGGAAGAAGCAGACAGAGCAGCAGGAAGGGCATGAGGAAGGCTTACCAGGATGTGATGTTCCCAGCCATGTCGAGGACCCAGTTGAGGAGAGGGAAGAAGCAGATGAGGCTGAGGTGGCAGGCAAAGAGCTCAAGCTTGGAGATGTCCTTGCCAGTGGAACTCCTGGGCTGGTGGCAGGACCGGTCTCTCTTGGGACAGAGGTGCTGCTGGTGGACGTGGCAGGGGTGGTCTGTGTCTGAGAGACAAGATGCTGCACAGGCTGTGTCAACGTTCTTATGTGGGTGACAACTACAGAGAGAAAAGCACAAGTTGATTGGAGGTGGCAGGGCAAGAAGGGAAGGCAAAGGAGGTAGACAATTCCCAGGCAGAACCCCCATGGTAGGGGGTAGGAGTAAGAAAGACAGAACTAGACCCCACTGAGTCTTACTGGGCAAGAGGGAAAAATACGCCAATTGATCTCCCCTCAAAAAATATGCGGCAAAACTGGGCCCGAAGTGTGCCCTCTGACAATTCAGCACCCCCTGCCTTTTTCTGAAGCTCCTCAGAAAAGAGCCTCTCTCGATCTGCATGTTTCTTCTCCCAGGCATTCCAGACTGGGCAAGAATATCACCTGGAAAAGCTGGGGAAAGTGAAGCAGAGCCTTAGACTAAGGGCATTTGTCTACTCCCTCTTACCTTCTATTTCCTGCAGAGTGGTTGTTTGGATTCCCTCACTGCCTGTAAGGCAAGTAAGTAAGAATGAATATTAGTAATGGCTGGAAGGGTTCCTAGACGAAGCTGTAATTCCTGGCACAAGGAGCCCCAGATGTATGCACCCCAACAGTACTTTGTGGGAGACACATGGACTGGGAGAGAGTGTACACCTGCCCTCCCACTACAGCAGAATTCCCACCACACACCGTCCCAACCTCTGGTGTCAGTTGCTAACCCAGTAATTCATGTTGCCATACAGTTTCAGAGGAGACTGTCCTTGTTGGTATATTGAGTGCCAGACAGAAAAAAAAAATATTTTTATTTAATATTTATTGTTGGGAGTACTTGTTAGATTGACTAGGGAGAATATATATTCTGTGGTCTGTGGGTTTTCAAGAACTTGCCTTGAGACACGAGAGATTTTGTCTAAATTTGGAGGAAATGTTGGAAGAGAAATGTTAGGTTTAAGATCATATCTGGATGTCAAATGCTTGCTCCATTGGCAAGACAAATTTCCATTTTAATCATGCTTCTTCAGTTATCCTTGTCCTTTCCTACCTATTTGCAATGTTAAGACCACTAGTAAGAATGCTTGGGGTTTTTTGACTAAGTAACACATTGACCTATGTCTTGTGAGTGATGGTGTCACCTGGCAGATACCAAAAAGTGATATTTACCTGCTGTTGTTAGTTTAGGCTCGCTGAAAGTTATGCTCTGAGACAGGGTTTGAGTAGGCAATGAGGAGGTTGTCATTTCCTTTTTGATAGTGGTCTTGAAGGACGGTGAGGTGAACCGTACTTGTTCTGTCTCTGTTGAAGCAGCGGTTGATGAGGCAGCAGGTGTAGACCTTGGTATAGTGGTCATGGTTCTCTTTGTTGTGGTAGTTATGGAAGGAGTAGTGATGGTTGTAGTCATGTTTGGTGTGGTAGAAATTGATGTTGTATGTTCTTTTGGGGTAAAGGTAAATAGTACAGTGTGAGTAATCAATTCATAAAATAATTAAAAATAGATAAATTATGAAGAAAATACCCATATTTTAGAGACCCTTTTTCACCTTGATCTTTTGACTATTTTCAGCATTGTTGTTGCACTCATGTTCTCAAAAACTTGTCAAATATTTCTGTACTTATATTTGTTTTCTATTGTCTCGTGTCTATCTTTGTTCTCAGTTTCTGTATTTTTCCTGTACTAGATTTTTTTAAATATAATTTTTCTAAGAAGTTAGCTTTGTTGTCACTTATTGACTACAGTCTGTATGGGCTTTGCCCAAATCACAATTTCATTGGCTACTATTATGTTCCAAATCAGCCCCAGTTTCAGCTTTCTGTAATTCATATTAAAAAGTTAAGTAACATTATACTATAGGACTTCCTTGTCCCAGTGTCCAAATTATCTGTCATCATGTCAGTTTTTGAATCCTTCAGGACCTCTTTTTAACTCTGCTTTCCCTGATAGCCAGGGTCCAAGATGGTTAATTAGCTGAAGTGCATGTTGGTGTGAGGCTAAATGAGTCTCCACAAGCCATAGAATCAGAAAGTAATTTATGTTGGCAGAGTAATCCTCCTGAGAGCAGGACTCTAGAAACCTAGACAAAGCTGCTACACTAATACCTGTGTGATTCTGCTTTGGGCTTGCTTACATTATTCAGAGTTAATAGACTGGTTGCTCATTGAATATGACTGCATAACTGAATCAACTGTGGAAAAGAAGCTGAAGCTAAGCTAATAAATCTAACTGGATCTGGGCTGGCTCACTGCTTATAGAACTTCTAATGTGCTTCTCAGATGAGTCAAACAAATGACTTTTGGTTATGTTTTTAACCTAGTGTCTATATCCTTTATCTTTCCACGCACTTTTGATCTACACTTCTGAACATTTCTGGCTGACAAACTCCTTTCTGGAAGCCTGTTTTGCCTACCTCACGATTTGGAGTCTAATGCTTGGATGCTGTACGAGTCTGCAATTCTTTCCTAGGAAGTGGTATCTCAATTATGTATAGAGTAGTGAGCTTACTGTAATTTATTTTAGACAGTAACACTAAAAACCTACCAGTTGTTGACTTCGTTGTGACAAGAGGTTGTATGGGCGAAGTTCTCGGAACTGTAGTTTTTGCAGTTATTGTTGGATTTGTAATCTCAGTTGATGTAGCAGTTGCAGAAGCACTAGGTACTGTTGGTAGGGTGCTTGCAGCAGAGCTTCCTGTTACTTTAGGCTGCACTGTTGTTACTAAGAGAAAAAAATCAAAATGAAAGGATAAGAAATAGTCCTCAATAATCTATTTATACTGTACCTATATGAATTGAATTTTTTTAAGTATAAACACTGTTTTTATAACTATTAGCGGTTACTACTATTAACACATTTCAGGTGAAGCCTTTTAGATGAAGCCTTTGAGAGCAGTTATCCATTGCTTCCTTTGCTATTATGTGCAGTGAATACATTAAACAGGTATTCATGAAGAAGCTTTATACCTTTTTCTTAATTTGAAGTGAATTTGGCATAAATATTTGTGCATATCAGCAGAAATGGAATAGTATTTTATTATCCAGACAACCCACAGTGTAATATTTTCCAATACCATCTGTCTTCAAGGAAATTAATGGAATTTCTAACAAACTTAAGATCATTGTATATAGGTTCCTTTCCTATAGCAGGCTATAGAGATTTGGTATAGTCAGCCATACATTTCCATGAAGACCTTCTTAAATTGTTGAAGTGTTATATCATCAGTCACTCTGCAGCGAGCAGGGACATCTTCAACTAGATCAGGTTACTCAAAGCCCAGTCTAGCCTGCTCTTGAATGCTTCCAGGGATGTGGCATCTACAGCCTCTTTGGGTAACCTCTTCTAATGTTTTACTACCCTCATAATAAACAATTTCTTCCTTATATCTACTCTTAATCTACTCTCTTCTAGTTTAAAACCATTACCCCCTTGTCCCATCACAACAGGCCCTACTAAAAAGTCTGTGTCTGTCGTTCTTATAAGCCCTGTTCAAGTACTGAAAAGCTGCAATGAGGTCTCACTGGAGCCTTGTCTTCCCCAGGCCAAACAATGCCAGGCCTCTCACCCTTTCCTCATAGGAGAGGTGTTACAGCCCTCTGATCATCTTTCTGACCCTCCACTGTCTGGAACTGAGAACTGCACAGCACTCCAGGTGGGCTCTCATCAGAGCAGAGGGGCAGAATCACTTCCCTTGGCCTGCTGGCCACGCTGCTTTTGATGCAGCCCAGCATATTATGGTACCAGGTCATTTTTCATCATTGCATCTTATGCACGTGAAACTGGTGATGCTACTATAAAATGCAAAAAAAGATATCACTGACTTTGTAAACACTTATCAGGACATAATATCAGTATGTAAATATTGGTTGGGTCAACTGTGTAAACTAACCTGGTGAAGGTGAAGATGTTTCAAGCGTGGTGCTACTGCTTTCTTCTCCTGTTGTGTAAAGGTAGAACAGGTTAAGTTTGTGAATAAAAGCATATTAAAATATTCCAAATAAGGCAAATTTCAGATTGGATTCAAAGGATTGTGTTAATTAGTGAAGGATTCCTGAAAGTGTTTAATATTACATATTTCAGTGGTAACATTCACATGGAAGGACTTAAGTACAAAGAAATCAATACATCTCAAAATAATAATGAACACTAGTAAGTTTTTGCTGTCTTTCTTTTGACTTTTATGCTTAAGGGCACTTCACTTTTCAGGGATAATGGAATGTGGCTTTGTATGTAAATGAGATCAGCAGCCAAGATTCTGGTTACACAAGTAAGAATTCTGTAACATGAAAAAAATTCTCCTGAAGTTTTTCAAATCCAAACTGTGCAGCTTGAGTCTATCTAAAACATTATTTAATAAGACAGGTTTTCACAGAAGTAAATGATATGGCAATAAATCTTAAGTTAATTTAAAAAGAAAATCTCTAAAAGAGATTTGCTAAGTAGAGTCCATTAGCTAAGTCTAATCTTCTTCTAAATGTTCTCTTTTTCAATGAAAAAAGTTAAATATTCTGAGACTCACAGCTTTGCTGGTACTGTCCCTCACACAGACCAGAACAGCAATACACTTTCTGGAAGAGCCACCTTTTGAAAAGTACTCACATACATGAACATAACTTTTAGTGTTGCTAATGAAAATCAGTCAGGTTCATCCAGCTTCTGTATTATAGCATTGCCTATCCTAATCCTGTTTTTAATTAGTTCTTTTCATTTCTTTATTTACCAAGCAGTACAGTAATGGGATTATTTTGAAAGAAAGTTATGCTCAGATGAACACTCATTTATTGAGAGGTACTATGAAAAATATCTTCTGTGAGGCTATACTATTTTCCAATTACTGTAGAGAAAGAGATGCTGCTTACCACATGGCATGCACCTGTTCTCTTCATGGTCAAAGTATTCATCATAAGAGCAGTTGTAACAACCTGAAGAAAGGGAAAGAAAGCATCAATTAGATTACTATTATTTAACTGTGGTATGACTGATTTAGAAAACAGCATTGAAAATAATTATTATGTTACTGTTTCCTGGTTTAGAGTAGTATAGCTTATTACCTTCAATGTTGACATATTTGTAGTTTTGATTTGGGCAATTACAAGGCCTGTAATGCCAGGTGCATTTCTCATCATTGTAGTCAGAGGAATAAGCACTGTCAACTCCTGTTCTTTTATGAGAATTGTAGTATTCACAATAGACAGCTAAAAAAGGTAAAAGCAAGACAGAAATCAGATTTATTTTTTTTTACTTAATGGCATGGTATTTTTAAAGTACTAAAGGGAGGACAAAATTAATAAAAAAAATAAAAAAAATTGACTGAAGTTATTAGTTTCTTAAGTAAATTTATATTTTAACTCAGTGAAGTCAGTTTCTTTTTTGCAAATGCAGTATGCAAGCATTTCCACAATTTTTAATGCACAATATAGTGAAATGTGGAAAAGAAACCATCACAAATGACAACTCTAGCATTGACTCATAAGAGGGTCATACTTTTTTTTTCCTCTATACACAGTGTTCTGGAACACCTTGATATCTTTTTCCTGTTTTACAGTGTTCCAGCCAACACAGCTGTCTTCCTTTCCTTGACATCCACACAGAAGGTGATTTCATCATAGCTAAAATGAAATATATTTTTTTACAATTTCATGCTTTCTCTGCTGGCAAATTGACAGTGCACTACACCGAGGCAGCAGAAGAAACAGTCTGCTTTCTGTGACCACATTATTTTCTCTCTCGTTACTCCATGGTAAAAAGAGCTATAATAATTTGTTTAATTTAGCACAAATGAAAAAGTACAGATTTCAAAATCTAGGTGACTGAAGTCAACTATTTGCCCACAGAGAAAATGCAACCTTTGAGGTGCTTATTAATAATTTTCTTGCATTGTCATATGAATATACCCACAGTAACAGTAATAATGTCTTAAACTTGTTTAAGGAGAACTTAAATGAACTTACGACAGAACTCAGGGGTCCTCCAGTCAATGCAGATACCTTTCTCTAAACATGCCATGGCATAGACTGCAATGGCATCACACATGCATTCACAGTCCCCTCCAGTGTCACACCCACAAGAGTCTCGAACACAGGCCTCATAATAGGGTATCCGATTCACCTGCATTGGAAAATGAAGGAATGAATTTTCTAAGATTATTTTGTGCCAATTTGTTAAGAAGATGATTTTTCTTGGGCTAGACAGTACATGTTCCACTAAGAATAACTAGTATTTCAACTGAACACTTGTCAAAGCAATTACAACCTCACATCATACAGATTTTTTTAGCCAGACTCAGGTGTCTCCACATCAACAACAGAAACTGATGATGTTTTGCCTTATACATATTTCTAATTTTATACTGGTACTGAAAACTCCTCAAATCCCCACATCCATTTAGGCACAAGTATCTAAGTTCATCAGCTGTACAGTCTCTGTACATACATAAACACTGCAGCATTATCCCCATTTTTCACTTGTTTTTACCTCCTGAAAATGGAGGATTCACCTAAAAATGGGGGATTTCCCTTCAGAAGGCCTGCTCCTTTGTGATATTTTCATTTCCACAAAGTGGACAACTTAAAACAAATAGGAAGGTTGATGGTATCTTGTTCTTGAATGGACCATCAAAGTAACAGTGTTGACTTACTGATGAGAACACGAGTTTTCAGGACTTTCTTTAGTTTGATTTTATAACAAAGACTAAATGGTTTCAAAAGAGTAAGTGCATTGATCAGGTATCACCAACAGACTAATTTTTGATTCTTAAGTCTTTTTCACACTCGTAGTTCTAGTAATCAGTTAATACCACACTTAGCTTTTGTGCTTACAAAAGGGCTGGTGAAGTGCAAATAAGAAAGGATGAAAATCAACACAAATGTGAGGTATAAAACATTTTATATGTATTTTATTGAAATACTTTGGGAAACAGAAAATCGCCTGGGAGAATGTGAGCACTTTGGAAGAATGCACATCATGCCTGTAAGCAAAAGGAGGAGCAAATAAATTCTTACCTTATTGTGACAGGCAGAAAAAACCTCACCATTGATGACAGAACATGTCTTTTCTGCCCATGCTTTACGATAAGGGTTCTTGCTACAGGGATCCACTACAAAGTACACATCCCCACAGAGAGGATTCTCTTTCCAAGAATTGACAAATTCCAATTCATTTGATGCCACATACTTGCTTCGAGTTTCAAAATCATCCTTCATATTGCCATTATAGTTCCCACACAAACCGCATAGAGTTTCCTGGAATAAATGAAAGCAGCAGTGTCAGTTCAACAAGTTACAATTACTCACCTTCCCTTTTGATTACTGATGGTTTCCTGTGCTTTAGGAGTGAATGTCATCTACAAATACTCTGTCAGACAGTCTTAGCTTCTTGTGCAGGAGGTTCTGTTTGTCACTGGAGGAATGTGTCTTCTAAACTGTAAACTGTCATCATTTAGAGATCAAATTCAACCATGCAGTTCTATAGAATACAAACATTTAGCTCAAAAATTTCCTGAGTGCAGTACAGAAATCACTTAAAAATCAGGCTCTAGTGAAAATCTCTGCTGTTTTGGAGATAAAGACGAAAATGAATTGCTAGGAGCTTTTCTGAAGAACTTTTGCCATCACAGGGAGTCAAGGCAACTGCAATTAAATGCGCAGTTCAATCTGAACTGAAGGACACTTTACTGAGGAAGTTATTCTGCCATACCTGTGTTCCTCTGGAAATCTTGATGAAGAAGTTCATGTGCTTATTCCAAATAAGGGTCATGTTGTATTTTCCTGGGATAATGATATCAAACATCAGGTGAAGGGCGTTCTTTTTCACATGATATTGTACACTAGGATTTTCCCCAGAAATAGCGAAGGTTTCATCTCTCAGTATGATTGTCAAATTCTGGAAGAAAATTTATCTAGAAATTATAACTTATCAGGTTTCAGTATTTTCCTTACTCTGTGTCACACTGCTAAAGATCAGAACCTGTGATACTATTACAGACTAACTTCACATTTCCACTGTTTTTCAAAAGTCCTGGCAGTCACAAAAAAGGGAAACATTGCACCCATTTTTTAAAAAGGTGGAAAGGAGGACCCTGGGAGGAACCAACGTGACAGCATCACCACTGTGTCTGGAAAGATCATGGAGAAGATCCTCTCAGAAGCTGTGTTAAGGCATATAGAGGACAGGGAGGTGATTTGAGACAATCAGCACAGCTTCACCAAGAGCAGATCTTGCCTGACCAACTGAGTGGCCTTCTATGGTAGAGTGACTACATAAGCAGACAAGAGAACAGCTACAGCTGTCATTTATCTGGACTTCAGTAAAGCCTTTGACAGGGTCCTCCAGAACAGCCTCCTCTATAAATTGGAGAGGTATAGATTTAGGTGGACTGTTTGGTGGGTAAGTGATTGGCTGGATGATCACATCTAGAGGGTAGTAATCAATAGGTCCAAGTCCAGATGGAGCTCAGTAAGGAGTGGCGTCCCTCAGTACAGTTTAATATTTTCATCAGTGACACAGACAGTGGGATCAAATGCACTCTCAGCAAATTTGCAGATGACACCAAGCTGAGTGGTGCTGTTCACACACCTGATGTGAAGGATGGGATGCCAGTCAGAGGAACCTGGACAAGCTTGGTGGTAGATGCCCCATCCCTAAAAACATTCAATGTCAGGTTGGACAGGGCTTTCTTTGAACAACCTGATCTGGTTGAAGATATGCCCGCTCATTGCAGGGGTGTTGGACCAGATGACCTTTAAAGGTCCCTTCCACCACAAAACATTCTGTTATCAATTTTACAGGCTTTTTTACCTCCTTGGAATTATTTTGTATGCATATGCAAATCTTCACAGGAAACAAAAATATCTGTCATTGTTCGGTGTTATTGTTAAGTGTGCTAGCACTCCACATTTGGTGGAAATAATATCATCATCTACATATGGCCAATAGAGTAGAGGAAGTATGTTTTCATGTGTTTCTAAGGACAGTCAAAAAGTAACAGGGGCTATAGCTCTCTGTCCTGAGGTCTTTAACCATCTCCCACTTTTGTGTGTACTTTGCCAACTTTACTCCTGTCATACTGCAGTGTTTCCATGTCTAGATAATCAGAAGGAAGGTTTGTTTGGAGTGTGCATTTATGAAATGGAATCCTAAGCCAATAAACTTTTTCACCACAGCACTGACCAACTGGAACTGCCAGTATTTAGTCAGCAGTGTGGCAAATGTGTACTTTTTGTAGTGCTTGTTCCTTGGGATAAAATCTCATCTGTTCATATTTTTCTCTCTGTCAGATACTGAAGGATCCTAAGACAAGCTGATACTACTGGGCACTACTGTCCAATTAAACTGAGAACAGTAAAACTTATACAGTTCCAGAAGCTGTCACATTGCAGTAAAAATGAGGATAACTACTCATTAGTCTAGTTTCATAGATATATCTCAGGAAAAATCTGGATATATTTTGAATTTCAGATATTATCTGGACTTAGAGAAATTTTGATAGCTTTTGCTCATCACCCACGATGAGAATTCCTCAATTTTATACTATTATTTTTCTGAGTCTGGTAGAGAGAGGTGGGGAGGGGCAGGAAGTCGGTATCTTTTGATCAAGCAATTCACTGATAAGTAAAATGCAAGATTTTCTGGCTTCTACATAGGTGAGAACCTTGGAGAATTAAACACAACATGAGAACTGGAAAAAAAACAATCTATGGCATTTCCTACTAAAACCAAAGCTGTAGGTTTAGCACATAATTTCACTTAGAAGACATCTCTTCTAAGATACAGTTAAAGTTTCCAAAATAAAGTAATCATGGTCTTAAAATAACTATTCAGCTGGATAATGGCAGAAGGAAGAGCTTACCCCAAGGTAAATGCTGATGGATCTGGAGCATGTAACTCCTGATATCCCACAGATGACATTCTCAGTAACAATTTTGAAAGAGGAAACAGGTCTATTAATACCGCAGCCATCCTAAAAAAACCAAACCAAACAACAAAAAGCATAAAACCCCAATAGATTCTGTGTCTGGAGTCTTCCAACTCAAAATATAAAAGCATAAGGAAATAAAGAAAGCTTAAAATGTCCTGACTGATTCTGCCTGTTTTGGGAGGTGATGACCTCTGCTTTGGTTGTCAATCTGACATCACTTCCCTAAAATATATAGTTGTCTGGTACGGAATACATATATATCAATGACTATTTAAACATGTTATTAAATCTAAAATTGGTTAATATTGCATTAAAAAGCTGTTTTTTTGAGAAGTAAAATATTTTCATCTTAAGCACTGAAATAAACAGATTATACAAAAAAACATTAAGTGGCTTTAAAGATCCAAAGTGCTCTATTGGTTACTGATGTATCCTATCATGTTTTCATTAGTCATTTAAATCAAGCTATTTCTTGATGCTAAGATACTGCCAAAATCAGCAGTAGGAAGCAGGTTACCGTAGCTAATATGTATTCACAGTTGCCATCAAACACAAAACGCTGTCCATCAAAAGTGGTGATGTGGCCTTCTCCATAAAGGTTACAAGTTGAGGAACACCTTGATTTCTGAACACATTTCCATTTGCCTTTTGTGCAAGTGCTGGGATGAGAAGAGAAATCAGATTTCAAAGAAATGCCACCTTAATCTGCTTCTTTTTATACACGACCACTTTTATAAATAAGATGTTAATTTAATTGATTTATGTACACTGAGACCAAGTTAGAGTTAATATAAAGAACCCTAATTAAAAGTCATGGACTGCCTAGAAAATGAATTCATGATAAAGAAGAAATTTTACATAATTTTTGCCTTTTTATTTTCATGAAACAAAGAGTATATAAAACCCATTTATTTTTGCTCCTAATGAGAACAGAAATCACTGTTCTGTGTAGTTTGGGGGGTGGTGGTGGTTTTTTAATGTTAGATTAGTGACTGGAAATGGAATAAAGTTCTTTGAGAATGCTGCTAAGGAGATGGAAACAATGTTTGAGGGGGGATTTGCTTTTATCTACAGAAAAGGAGAAAGATTGTGCCCTCATATTTATTTATGTGGAGTTGTCAATAATCATTGACCTTATGTAGTTTACAGTTACAGGCCCTACTGGATGCCCTTATTCTGGAATATGCATAAGGCAGAAATTATCCCTGAAGTCGGTACCATGACTCTTTTTTTTATACATCCTCTACTTTGCCATGGTGTTTCTTCCATTCAGCTGTTGCCATCTCCTACTCTCCTGTCAACCAAACACTTTTTTTTATGTGGTTGTACAGTTTAGTGAGACAGAGGTTCTGCAATGAAAAAGTATGTGATTCTTACCAGATCTCACATTCAGTTTGGATTTGTTCACCTCTTCCATAAGAAAGGCCACCATATTCACATGGACACTCCTCAGCTGGAACACACTTGCCATCGAGATTTTCATAAAGGCCATCAGCACAGACACAGCCTGATTCACATTTAGTTGGTATCTGGTAAAGGTCAACAGATTGCAAAATGAAAAGAACTGTGAGACACATTTTATCCTGGATGTGAATGGTGTCAAGAGTGAACCTGTGCTAAATTCTGTTTTGACTTGATCTTAGTTTTGTGATGTTCCTTGCACTAATGTGCTAGTCAACTTTCACTGAAGTTGTAAAATATACTTGTGGTGTGGGATATTAAACATACCTGAAGACTCTGAAAAATTGATCTTCCTTTACTATCAGTCCTTTTTCAGAAAGAGTACAACAGAAGTTTCTTTATATCAAGGAAGCTTATTACAATTCTTCCAATTAGTCTGTTTCCTTAATATAAAATTGTAAGAAAACCCTATCAGGACAGCCCAGATGTTCACCTAGCCCAGGTCTCCTGCATTCTGTGACTGGTAGCAGCAGAGAGTTGAGAAAAAATAGAAAAGGAAGCATAACACGCAGCTTATGGAGTACTTGAGTCAGAGGTGATAGCCATGTAGTTAAGACTCCTTAATGGACTTTTATTCCATTAATTTAATATAATTTAATTCATTAATTCATGCAGTTTAATTCCTTCAATCACTTCTTAAATATATGTACATATTTTTGTGTCCACAGTCTGTGGAAAGAAGCCTGATGTTTAACTGTACCATGCTAGATGAAATATCTCCTTTTATTTTATTAGAGGGAATGTAGTTCCAAGTAGTTCTAAATAACACTAGAACATTCTAACTCTCTCAAGAGGATAAACATCCCAGATCTGTGAAACTCACACATTCAATTCCAGTAGCCAGCATCTGACAGGTAGGGGCACAAGCAGCTCCATACTTGTTTTCTAAACTGTCAGAACATGATATGTATTTCTTAGGAGCTTTGCAGCTTTCTAGGGAAAAGGAACAAAAACAAACATTGAAAAGATCAGGAAGCAGTAATTTTACAACATAGGGGAAAAAAAATATGTTCCTGAGTAAACCATATCAGACCCATACCTGCAGGATTTTGAGGTTTGCCTGTGCAACTTAGCCTTCCATTAACACAGTAGCTAGGGAGAAAAAAAAAAAAATCAATGCAAATCTCTCTTGAGAAAGAAATTTTTATTTTTTGCAAAATGACTTCATCAGAAATATTTCATTTATGTTACTAGCTCCTTCCCATCCTTTGAAATGGAACATAAGTCAACTTGTCTCTTTACTTTTTGTATTACACAGTAACATTAGTTTTGGAAGCGTATGGTAGGCTATTATCACTATTATCACTAATAGGCAATCATCACTATTATGATGGTCTATCAAGTCATTCTTGAAGTTAGTATATAGTGTATTGTATATAGTCCAAGTGCTGTTGACAAAATCTCCTACTGGGAATAATCAGATCTTACCTAATGTTTTCTATTTTTCTCTATAACATTCCCAAGCTTAAGGTAAGTCAAATGCTTTTTGTTCATTTAAGGATATTAGTGGTGTTGCCTTAGAGTTTTTGATTTTTTAATTTTTATAGACTTTAGAAGTAGTTATGTAGTGAATGTAGATTTTAAAGTAGCTGCACTATATCCCTCACCCCTTAGCACAGTAGTTTACACATTTTCCCACGTTACCCCTTTCCCATATCAAAATTCTGTTAAGTCCGTTAGTTGTTTAGTCTTGTTTTCAGTGTGGATTTGCAGAAAGCACCTTAATGCCTGCCCCAAGGAATGTAAACATGGGCACAATGACCTTCAGGCCAAGACTTTGGAGGGCCTCCAAGGGCTGCATGTGCTTTGATAAAGAGGAAGATGATGAAAGAGGGGCCCCAAACTCCCCCAAACTCAATTCCTAAAGAGGTGTGCCGAGGGGCAGAACGGGGCAGAATTGGGGGGTGAACAAGCGGGGATTGGATGGACATCATTATAAAATTGTAGCACCCGGGTCGAACGGGCGCGTGCGACAGCTGTATTCCTGGAGCATGGTGACTCACTAAAGCTTTCTGTTTTCTTATCTCCTACCTAATTGGGCCCAGAGTTCTTTTCAGGCAATAGTGGCTTAGGAAAAGGTAAAAAAGATATCTTGAAAAACAAATTTTTCCTATTAAAAATAAAGCAGTATATACTGATTTGGGATGGAATGGAGTTAATTTTCTTTGTAGCAGTTCAGTGGTGCTATGTTTTGAATTTGTGACCAAAACAATGTTGATAACACAAGGCTGTTTTAGCTGTTGCTGAACAGTGTCACAGCATTCTCTGTTCCTTATGTTGCCCCACTAGGGAGGAGGTTGAGAGTGCAAAAGAAGCTGGGAGAGAACACAGCCAGGACAGCTGACCTATACTGACCAAAGAGATACTCCATACTATACTACATCAAGCTCAGCAATAAAAGCTCAGGTAAAGAAGGAGGAAGAAAGGATGTTTGGAGTTACAGCACTTGTCTTCCCAAGAAAGCATTATGGATGACAAATTCATGCTTTCCTGAAAATGTCTAAGCAGCTGCCTGCCGATGTAAAGTCCTGAACTAATTTCTTACTTAGCTTTGATTGCACATTGTCTTCACTTATTAAAAAAGCTTTTTTGCATATTAATAATAAAGAAATTTATTAAACTGTCTATATCTCAACTCATAAACTTTCTTGATTTTTTCTTTCTGATTCTTTTCCATATCTGGCTGCAGTGGAGTGAGCAGCTGCTTACTGACCTTAACCATCAGCAGAGACACATGAAGACCCCTCACCTCCATTTTCAGTTTGTTAAGCTTTAAACTTGACACACTTACCAGGTGATCCCACCAGTTATTGTTGACTGGTCAGGCAGGATGTATTTTCTATCTTCCAAATAGCAGGGACAATGAGATTTACGAACACACTCATTCTTGTGGTTTAAGTACAGTCCTTCAGGGCACTGGCAGCCTTCAACAGGAATATCAGTTGGATGACATTCCAGGGCTCGGTTGGAGAGTGACAAGCATGTCCTGTCACATGCCTGAGCGTTGTAGCTGAATGTTTGATTGCCAGTGCAAGTAATGGCTGTAAAAGAAGAGTGTATGTTAAACTTCATTTACGGATCCTCTTCCTTGTGAAAGGTAACTGTGCTCATCACATGCTGCTTATTTTGTGTCAACAGCTTCAATGCTCAATGCTTCCAGTAGCTTCTCTTCCTATGGATATGGAGCTCTAGCAAAACCTATTGCAGACCAGGGCTTAACAGCAACTATGTAGCTGTTTGGAAGTTTCATGAAGGTTTAGTTGTTTGGAAGTTTCATGAAGGTTAAATATGTAACTGCTTCTTTGTGTATCTTGGAATAAATAATGCAAAGAGAAGCTTTGCAGAAATATCAATGTATTTTTGAGTAGCTTTGCAGAAATATCAATGTATACTCGAGTAACTGTGAAACCTGTACCTAAATTGCATAAGAACAAAATCAAATCTGCACCCAGAGTTTTTCCTAGTTCATTCTCATTTTACAGTACAGTATAACCCTATTTATCTGTCTATTCCATCACTTAATTGTCAAGTCCTGGAAGCATCCACATGCTCACCTTAAAGCATATGAATAATCTTCTTCATATAGACTAAAATCACAATCGTTTTCTGAAAGAGACTAGAAGGATATTCAAAAGTTGGGTATCTATTATCCCATTTCTGCTTTTTTCTTCTTTCTGTTCACTACTTTTCCCATTACTCTTAAGATGATTTGGACACTGTTTCAAATATTGCATTACCATTTTTTTGTTTGTTTGTTTGTTTTTGTTTTTTTTGTTTGGTTTTTTTGTTGTTTTTGGGGGGTTTTTTTGTGTTTTGACACATCTGCAATGCCAGCAGCTCCTGGGAAAACAGTTTTTATACCTGCTGGCTGGCCTACTTGAGCAATATGTAGTTATTTCTGTAAGCACTGACAAGTTGTTTTAAAATAAGTTCTTGTTCTTACTCAGTTTTGTCACAGGTGAATCAAACACAGGAATATTCTAAACGGAAACAGGCAGACCTGCATGCATGCATTCATCTGATGGAAGACCATTAAGAGCTGCTTCAGTTACTTACTACAATTGTCCATACTGCCTCTCCAGTTCTCAAGGATTAAACCCATTGAACTGCACGCTCGTGCATATGATCCCAGAGCAGAACAAATGTATGGAAAGGTCTCTTCATAGTTACAGGCCTGGTAGACACATCTCTGAAACCCAATACATGGAGAATACTTTGTTACTGGGGTGCAGACATCTGGAAGTGCTAAACCCTTGAGGTGTTTAAAAGATGTGTGGATGTGGCACTTAGGAACATGGTTTAGTGGTGGATTTGCTAGTGTTATGTTTATGGTGGGACTCAATGATCTCAAAGATCTTTTCCAAACTCTGTGATTCTATGCTGAATAGCAGAGCTAAGTCAGACAAAATACACAGTATTGCATAACTAAAACTGAGGGAAAATATCTGAGTAATTGCTTTGCTGATGTAAATAAAATACACTTAATACCTAAAAATGCCTGTTTATTCGCTGCTTCTCATTTTGAATTCTCAAAATGTTTTGTGTAGATTGGCAAATACAATTAGTTCAATTATGCCCAATACTTCGAATAGTTATAGTTGTCATGGACAACCACCGTATGAGCAAAAATACCTTCTGATTCATAGGAATGGGACTGGTGCCTATGAACAGACAGACTTTCAGTGTGGAGGAGACATAATTTTCAAAACCACACCTGTTCCTTTGCTTCTATGCCTTGCTGATTCCATGCGTGGGATACTGTCTGTGAGCACAATCTGGTTGATATTTGGACTCCCTCTGTACAACGTCTATCATAATTTCCTACCTTGTAGAAAGGAATAGGGTTGACCACAGCATGGCATTTCTCAAACACTGTACCCTTCTTGGTAAGAACGGAGCAATGAGTCTCAGCAGATATTTCTAATGAAAGTAAATCACAAACATTAAAAATAGAAAGTTAGGGAAAAAAAAGAAAAAAAACTTTAAAAATCCTGATATGTTACTGAAGGTGAACTTTTGGCAATGACGGATTGAACAATAGGACAACTTAACTTGTTAGCTTCCATACTCTGTTTTTGTACAAACAGCTCAGTAGGGGTTTTTTGTTTGTTTGGTTTTTTTTTAATGACCAATAGCAATAGAACATGGGAGGGCAAAGTCTGGATTTCAGTCACAGTACTTTAGAGCAACCCTAAGACATCCATAGACATTGCAATTTCACTGGATAGATCATCAAAACCCTCTCATTCTCATTCATCATCTCAATCCCAGATCTCTGGAATGGAATCTGATAAGTTTTCACTAGATATGAATTCTAGAAATCAGAAATGTCTTATTGTGACAGAATTTGTGATGTCTCAGTTTCTGCTTCTACTAAACTCTCATTTCCCTGGTATGAGCTTATGGAAGTGTCAGACAAAGCTAGCTGGAGAGATCAGTTACAACAGGATCATCTACTTACTGTTTAGTTGACTCAAAGCACAAGGGTCAGTCTCTCTCTCTAAAGCAGGATGGCAATTTCCTGCCCTCCAGGAATCTACAAACAAGGAGGCTGTCCCTTCAGTGATATCCATGCTAGTCATGAAGTCATCTGTAGTGTCTCCATTGTAATTGCCACACAAACCTAATAACATCAGAAATGCAAAGGATGGATGACAATTTAAGAATGTGTACACAGTGGTCTATGTTTCATTTTATAATAGTGAGAAAATTGATTCAAAAGCTCTATGTAGAGTGTCAGTGAATACTATAGATCATGTACCCAGAGAATCTTGATTATGTACACATTCAGTTACTGATCTTCTGCCTCCTCAAGTGAAGAGTGTCGACTTCTATTTAATGACAAATTCATAAAGAAGTTTTTGTCTTGTTTACAGAAACAAGTGGTTTTAAGTGATATAAAAGAGAAAGGCCACGAAACACTTATGCAACTGCATGTTTTCTTATGCATGTAAAATCCGTAATGACAAAAAATATGCATTTTGAATTTGTAAAAGATAAAGCCTCTCTGTAATTCCCCATGATCAGAATGCAAAATATGCCTGTGTGGCTAATGTTGCTGTGCAATAAACATAAACTTCTCCATCTGGTGCTTATCTGCTGAGAAGCTTTTAGATTCTTAGGTCCATTGTGTTTACAGTGATCGTGCACTACATCCAAAGAACCATGTGCTCCAAGATGTAGAGACCACACAGACTTATTTGTTGCTCCTTCACTGTGTAGCAAAACACATATTGAAAAAGGCACACATAAAACATGTAAAGAACAGTATTATATTACACATGAAAAATGTGACCAATTTAATTTCTTTAATTTGTTTTAAAGTTATTAGCAAAAAAAAATAAATTCTTGGCACATTGGGTTTCCAATGCAGATTTATTTTGTTTTCTTTGAATCCAGAGAAGAAAACTTATTTCTTAAAGGACGAGTACTAAGTTTTCAAAATTATACTCCCTACGTTTCTCCTTCACACAATGACTAGATTACTTACCTAGTGTTCTGCCTCTGAATTGTGATCCAGCTTTCACATGGGCTTGGAACACAGGTGATGTTTGAACTACAAGTTCCAGCCCGAAGGTTGTATGCATTTGAACATACATTGAAGACTGCCTGAAAACAGTAATGTCTCCTAAAAGAACAAGGACATTTAGAAATAGATATTTTGGTGATATTGCAAGGCAATGATTTTAATGCATATATAAGTGTTCTAGCACTCTGTCTACAACTCTTCTCCCACACACAACTCTCCACAGAGGAACAGATGCAATAGGAAAGACTTTAACCCTCTTCTAAAACCTCTGGTATTAGCAATTGGAAATTGCAAAGGATGCTGGGTTGCATAAAACAGACATTTAATGCAATTTGGGAATGACTTACATTCCCCTTTTTTTACCTGATCTGTAAGGCAGCCGTTTAAGTTCATCATCATCTGTGAGGAGATCATTCTGAGAAATCACAATTTTGTCCTGTAAGAAGAGGACATGGAATCAGAAGTAATTATCTGTACTGGTGGTATTTATATGTTCTTTAACATAAACAACTATATTGTCACTTAATAGGAAAAGACTGATTCAAGCATTTTGTTACATATTATTGTGTACTGCTTTTAGCTTTCACTTTGAAAATACTCTAACTTCCTGAGTTGATGTAGTAACTGAGATCTTTACTGTGTGTGCATGAACAGGAATATATCTTTAGTATCTATTCCCCATAATTTTTCAGTTCAGGCTACTAGCAATGACTTAAATACCTATTTTGCTTATCTGGTTACTGATATGGTGGATGGAACCCGTGGAGGGAATACCTACCTTTGCGGATAGGTAAATTATAGCACTAAGTGACGTTTCGGAATGAGAATAACCAGTCTTTTCGTATACTGCCATTAGGGTTCCATTGTGTGGCAGGCTGGCACTCTGGGGGGAAACAGTGAAAAGAGAAGTCTATGTCAGAATAATGCTGATTTGTAGAATCAATGTATATCTTAGGAAGAGCTCTGTGTTTCAATAGAAAAACAAAGACAGACTAAAATACACCCATTTGATATTTTGTGTTTCTTAACTGCAGGAAATTACCTTCATGAGAACATAAGTGCAAACCCCATGGAATCTGTACGACCTAGAATCAAACGTGGTAACAAAGGAGCCTCCTTCCAGTGAACACCTTCCAGGACAGGGCAAATCTTTGCAGTCCCATTGACCCATCATACATTTGCTGCGGAAAACAAGAAATTCTGTGTAAGGTTATTCTCGTACTTAGGCCCTGTTTACCAGCTGAGGATTTGATATCCTCCTGTCTGGAGGTTCCTCTGCAGCTGATCAACATGCAAAATTGGTTAGTGAACACAGAGTAACATACACATACATTCTGAACTTTCATTTTCAGTACTTTGGAATTTTCTTCAGACTCTAAAAACTCAGCTACTTCCTAGTAATGGAATATGTCATTTGTACCACTTTTCCCCTTACACTTACATTTGAAGATGGTCATCTTAATTCAAAGTTGTTGAACTTTTGTATGGATTGTCAGTTAATGTTCCTGAATCATGAAAAGTGTGTTCATCGTTGCATTTCTGAGGATCAAATTCCATTACTTTTCCTTTACATTCTTTGTTAGAATTATGATAGCAAGACACGTGACACCAAAAAAATTATTCCACTTTTAAAAAAATACTCTGTTATTATTTTCTGTTGCAAAACAGAAATTCAGTTTTCAGCACTGATCTGGTGATCAGAAAGACTGAGACTGCCAAAAAGAAATTGTAAATACTGGATATTTGCTTTGTACTAATTTTACCTGCACTTTCAAAGAGGAGATATAAATACTACTGTTTCATATGGTCTGAAAGGGTATTTTTATTTGTACAGACTAATCATGAAATGAGACATGTACCTCTTTAATTGCAAATGTATGATATGTGGCACTGAAAGAAGGTGGCCTCAGAGATGGTGTGACACATTTGCAGCTCCTCTCTGAAAAGTTGGGCTAAATTTTCCAATAATTTGGTGATCTCTCATAAAAGTACCTGTTGCTACTCACCAGGTCCTACATGTTGCTTTCATTGTCTCACCAGGAGCGTATGGTTTCCCATTCAGTGTACATGGACACTGGCTAATGTGAACACACGTTCGATTCTTGGAGATATCATCAAGAACAGTTCCTGCCAAAGATAAACAAAATACTTTTCCACATCCTTACTTAGCACTAAAGCTTCAGTGATTTCTGAAATTATCTTGAGTATGCTATTCTTCCACAGTCAGTGTCCATACTTCGATATAGAGTATATAGGAAAATTTCTCTTAATTAAAATAAAACTGACTTTTCACAGTGTTTGGCTGCTTTCTAATATGGAAGTGCAGGCACTTGTCTTATTTTGAAATTTGAACTGAATTTGAAATAGCAGTAAGGTAGAATGTTATTTTTATTTTTCCTTTTTTTTTTTCCCTATGACACTCTAAATTGACTTGGGAATTTTGAAGAATAAACACATTATATTTCCTAGAGTACTAAGTCTAGTTTTAAATATGTAACTCACAACACATTAGTTTTGACTGCCATAAATTGGTGATGATATTGATGTAAATGCCCACATTGGAAGATATATCAGTTCTGAAATTTTCTCAGAAACAAGGCATATGATAGTAATAATTACAATTTTTGAAGGAAGTTCATCTTGAACTATTTTAAAGGGAATTTACAAAATGCCCATGATATTGCAGAAGTCATCTGAGGTATGCTACCTCTTTCAGATGCCCTTAAGGGCTAGATACCTGTTTGGGACAGGAAATTAATTAAGCCTAACTCAATGTAAATTATAGTACAGAACTTTGAGCAGGCAACACATCATTATCCCATAACAAATCATGGTTTTGGGAAGAAAATGATTTCATAGCTCTGTTCTTGCAAATAGTGACCAATCATCTTTAAGGATCATAATTAATCAAGACTCCAGTTACATTACACAAGAAGTAGCAGTTCTAGCAGCACAATGCCTCGAAATGCATGGCTAGTTCATTATTAAGCAGTCTATTCCACTTGAGTGGATATATGCAAAAAAAAATATTTGTGTCATTCATTTAGAATATGATGAAATGATACCTTCTGGACAAAAGCAACCGTAGGTACAGTGACTGGAACAGCTGTACTCTGGGTTGGAACAGGTTTTAATACATGGAGAACCACATTCCTCATAGATTTGGTTTGCAGAACATTTTCCCACAGCTGCAACAAACAGCAGAAGTGTTAAAATTTTAAAAGAGAACAGTCTCCTGCTGCAAGTTTGAGAAATTAAACAGTTTTCACTTGGTGATGTTCCTCTGTTTTATTGTCACTGATCTAGACATAAGAGCTATGTTTCAAGCTTCCCTCTTCTCCTTTGAGGTTTCCTTGCACTCCTTATTTTATCAAAGACCACTGTTGTTCTCTTAAGAAAATAAGTTTGATTCAAGACAGTAAAGACTTTTTTTATCAGTTGTTTTACACTCCAGTTATTTTCAGTATCCCTGTATTTAAGACACAGAAAAGTTAAGCACAGCCTCGCACGAATAAACCATTTGAACTTACAACAGAAATTTTCAGTTCTCCAGTTGAACACCATCTGGTGGGACATAGCACATTGCCTTGAATATTCTGACAGTGTAGAGCAAGCACAGTTGTTTTGTCCTGGCTCACTGCAGTCCTGCATATCAAGCTGGCAACGAATGACAAACCCGTCCTTTGGCACACTGCAGGTTGGTGACACCAAATTAAGTAGCTGAGAGCAGATCATGGCCTAAATGAAAGGAGAAAGAAAATTGTTCCCTGTCACATTGGCTACTGCAGTATAGGGTCTCAGAGACTCTTAGGCACACTGACTTTCTTTTCATCTAGAACTGTAAGTGATAGCAGTTAATAGTGGTTGTCCCTGTCATCGGTGCTGTTATCTTACATGTTTTAGGCATTGGGAATGTCTTCAAGTCTGTACATCTTATAATGTCAGGTCTCTAAAAAGTTATTAAAGCTTTACTGGTTTCTCTGAATTTCCTGGGATGACCTGGATGAAACTCCAGCAAGCCGTGAGCTAAACACTGGTTGGTTTTTATGAGTGGTATAAATCCAGCCTCAGAAATGCCCATGGGCTTTTATTAAAATGTATTTCAATGCAAAGAACTAATTTTCTTTATCATATCAGGCTATACAAATGTTGACTTTATGTTTTTTAATGGAAGTCAGTTTTATATTTATTGCCTCTCTGTTGTTGATTTCTATCTGTCTTTCCCCCTCTGTTAAGAATCACACTACAGAGAAGCCAAGAAGATCTTCCTTACATATTTTTTGTGAGGAACAGTGGAAATTGGTATCTCCTCAGACAGGCAGATCTCTGATGGATCATCCATTTTTTGTAATGCAGCAAATTTGTACGTATCCAGCAATTTACCTGTAAATTGAAGGGTTATAATTTGTCAGGAAACAGCCCACATTGGTTTGTTTACTTGTTGCTGTGATGTAGCAAAACTCAAATTCTACTCTTTGACTGTGAAATGTTCTACAAATGAATTTTCCCAATGACAATAACTGCCTCTTTTGCCCTTTACCTGGAGTCTATTAAACAGAGCGTACTTTTATTACCGTGATCATTTCTTCAAGTTATTTCCCAATCTATCACATCTACTACCTTACATGCTGTTACTGGTTTTCTGCCAGCTGTGTTATCTTTTGCCAGTTGTTAATTCATACTTCTCCTTATCCCCCATTCTTATATCTTCCCCTATATATAGGGTTAAACTCATCACAACCCAAAGATTATTATATAATTTTTAGAACTCATTTCTGTGACGTGTATAGAAAACTGCATCTGTCTGTGTTGATCTAAGATTAGTTTACTGTGCAATTTAATGTCTCCACACTAGCACTACAATTCAGATTAGCAGTGTGCTTTTAAAGCAAATATTCCAAACATCCCCTTTTGTTTTTTTCTGTTGTGGAGTGGTCTTGTCATATGGAGTACCTTTAAGATTAAACCAAGCTGAAAGATAAATTCCAAGAGCTTGAGTAACAAGCTCCAACTACTAATGGGCAATAAATCAACAGACCAGATTAGAGTGACTCAGAAGTGAACCCCCTCAATTCCTCAGCACCATTTCGATATAAAGATCTACAATTATTGAGACACACTGTTAATATTCTTGTCAACTATGTTCTTCTTATTATTGCCTCATCCTTGCCTCTGCCTATAGTAATTATTTCCTTCACTGAGCCTTGCTGTGAGCTTAGACTGTGTGAAATTTGGGAGTGTGACCCTTACCACCCATTTCTAAAATATAAGAGAGTTCTTATCACTTGTCTGAGGAACCCACAATATTATGCTCACAACAGATAACAGTGTGTACAGTAATCTACAACAGGTATGTTGGTGAGCTATGGAACCACTTTACTCACTTCTGAAACTGAGTGAGCAGTCAGAGCAGTGCTTTTACAGTATTAAGCTTTCACCTTGACTCACTTTAACTAGTTTTCCTTCCATGTGAAACATCCTTGTATCTTACCTTCACGCACAAATTCATTCAACTCATAACCATCATAATTTCCACACATTCCACAGACTTTCCCCATGTATTTTTTTTCAGCCAAAACCTAAAATAAAATGGAATGAAACATTTAAAAGGATCACCCTGAGTGAAATTATCTATACAGCATTAACTTACTCAAACAAATTCAGTTCAAGGACACAACTTAAGGTGATCCTTCTCATTAATTTCAATTACTTGTTTGCAGGAAAAGTTTTGTAAATAGTAATGTCTTTTCCCAATAGGCAAATAGTGATTTATTTATTTATCTATTTAATAAAAGAATAGGATTTGAAGACACTTCCAGAGAATTAAGGAGGGGGGTATAATATTTTAAGGAATCAGAAAAGAAAACAAAAAAGCCAAATGATGCTGTATCCTGGCTCATATCTTTGTTGACAGAACATGAATTTCAGGTTTCTTCTCTTAAGAAATTGAAGGTTACAGGAAGAAAATCTGTTTTCAGAAAAAGATTATTCAATTATCCATTGCTCTGGAGACTAAAGTGGTAGTATTACTACTGGGTACGATCAATTAATTATTGTGAAAATCTTAGGTCAGAAGTAACCCAACTACAGAAAAAATAGTTTGTACCCATCACAGTAGCCTTTCCTCTTATATGTGTTATAGTAATGCTGATAAATCTCCCAGAAAATTTATTACATATCGTTCTCCCTGTTTTAGCAAACATCAATTTAGATTTCAGTGCCTTTTATGGCAATAATATCACAGGTCACACTGAGAAAATGTACTGGGGATTTTGGAGGGAAAACCTGAAAATATTCAAAAAAAGGAAAGAAACAAAGAAACTGGTAGAAGCACTGTATGTTTGAAACCAAAAGATGTCCTGTGGAAGCACAATAGAAAAGACTAAACTATGGCATACACTGTTAAATTCTACACAACTTTAAACAATAGTAAACATTGCAGCTGCTGGAATACCCTGAGGAAAGCTTAAAATGTGTGAAAGTGTCCATAAATCTCAACATTGGTGGCTTTAGTCAGCTACCAATGCTGCAAGTAAAAGGAACACACAGGTATAAAATGAACAGTTGTTTTTTTGCAAGAGGAATGGATGAAACAGGAAAAGAACAATTACCCAAATAGTAAATACATGCAAAAGCACCCAGTAAGTCTAAAGAGTTCTTGTCATTTCAGTAAATAAAATGAGAATTTTCTTTTCTGCTTTATGAGAACATTTTACTAACCATGAGATAGTCATCATTGTTCCACATGACAACTAGTTCCATCTCCATCAGCTTGGCGACCAGGCGGATGTTGTGTCCATAAGGTGCTATTTGAATTCCATTGCTAGTATAAGGCAACTTAATAATTCTGTAATAAAGGAAGAAGAGAAACTGACCTTCTCATTCCAATAATATGCAGGAATTAGTTTGTGGGGGGAGTTTTATATGATACACATACAGTCTGAGTACTTGCAGCGATATGAAATAGAATTTTTTTCCTTCGTAGCTGTGACATTTTAAGATACATTAAAATGTCTGTTGATTGAAAATCAATGCCAGCACTTTCATAGAAGAATCACCAAAGAGAAGCACAGTGATTATACTAGTGAAAATGTTTGCACAGGACTTGGCTTCTTCACTTGGTTTGTTTTTATCAGGGTATAGTTGCATGTTTCAAGAACTTCTAACAATAAAGTTTCTGTGGTACAACTATTCTTGATTATCCTGAAGAGACTCTATGTACTACAGCCCAGTAATATAGGAATTATTGCTATGACTGAAAACTGACAAAACTAAAGAAACCCATAATATGAATGTTGTAGCAGAATTAGGTTTTCATCCCTGCAGATTAATTTTAATGCTACAGACTAACAACATTACAAAAGAAATACATTTTGCTAAGTGTTCAGTGGTACAATTATGAGAAGGGGCTGAAAGACCAAAGCCTTCCACTTGAAGCATGGCTATGGGCAACACTAGACCAGCTCATGGCATTTGGTTCTTGTGACTGTAGGTCACTGGAATGGGCCCACAGATATAGTTTTTCTGGAAAAAAAATTAAAAAAGGAAGTTTTTCTAAATACAGTTTGCTAAATTAAGGTATAGTGCAAATTGTATTTTTGTTGTAATAGTTACTGTGCCCAGGTAAGTATAAGAGACACACAATCCACAGTCAATTATTTCCTGTATCCACATGTACTTAGAGATAAAAATTCAACACTGCCTATCTGATAAGAATATTGAAAACTTCCCTGGAGAAATTTCCTTGTATGGGAGCAATTTGTTTAGAGGAATGAACATATTCAGTGTTTCTCTGTTGGTTGCAGAGTTTAAAGTTTTTCTTATGCCCTATGTGTGTGTTACCTTTAGCAAGGTAAAGGAACTCTAAACAAAACACAGGAATTTCAGCTAGTATCTACTAAAGGGTATAAGCTGTTTCATCTGTGCTTGTAGTAGAGATAAGTATAAGCAGACTGGTAGTATCTAGGAAACTGTAGTTACAGTCTGAGTACTGTTTTGGTCTGAGTACATTTTGCCTACAAAAACGTACTCTAAGCTTGATTCAAATAAGTGCAAATGCAATACTTATCTAGAGAGTGTAATGCTTGATGGGAACAGAGTCCAGTTAGGTGTGTTAACTTCAGTGATTTGTTAATTAATTTTTAAAACAAAATAGTCATCTTCACTGTAACTGCTATATAACTCCTTGCCTTCTCTAAACACTTTTTCCTTATTCATCCCAGAATCTTACCCAACACTCCTGACAGAAATGCTGCCTTTCTCAACAATGACAACAGAAGGTCCAAGCTCAATAATGATCCTTGCAATTTTTTTGTCCATCCCACGGCGGAACTGAATGTTGAAGTCTGGGCTGGTTTCATCACATACAGTTGCAAAGATATAGTTGCAAGTCCCAGTGAAGTCATACTGGTATTTATCAAAGGTTGAAAAATGGCCTCCACCCCATGTAGAACAGAAATCCTTGCTCAAAACTACAAAAGAGAAAGAAAAACACATTTAGGCCTCCTAAAAGCATATTTGCTCATTCTGACTGTTCATTTCAAATAGATAGTAGGAGAAGCTATTCAGTTTCTACTCAGATTAATTCTGTAAACAACATCCTAGTCCTCTATTTTTGTTTTTTCTTTTGTAAGCTCAGAATTTTATCTCAAGTCAGGAAGTCAAACAATATGCAGAGGGAGAGCAATATTATTACTTAACTGTAAATAGAGGAGTTCCCCAGCTTCCTAGCTTGAGAAAAACCATTCCAACTCCTTCATAAGTAATATAAAGGTTTACCTTCTTATTTCAGTCTGTTTGATCTGTTTGCAAAGGCAACAGCTTGCTACTGGAGAGACCTTTAACATCTCAGACACAGCATTTACCAAGCTATCTACAGCATTACTGTATCATAAATAATTGCACAGTCAATCATTAGATATCCAAAGACAGTCTTCAAAGCTCAACTTGTCAGTCCCCACTTTTTTTGGCTCTGTATTTGTGTGACAAACTTTCAACCAGCCTTATAAATACATGGAATATTTTAATCAGTTTTCATTTTTAAGAAGTAATCTGAACTTTTCATCAGAACAGACAGATTTTTGGTGGTGGAAATGAATCCTAAAAAAAAGAGATACAACTCCAGCGCTTGTTGTAAAAAGTTCTGTACCTACTTACAGCATTTGAACAGTCCCTTTGAAGCTGATAGTTCTACTGAAGTAACTAAAATCATGTCCTCAGTTTTATATTTCCAGGCTCAGATTGTTAATTTTCATTTTTTAATTATTTTTGCTTATAGTGTTATATGTCATATTTTTCTTATGCTGTCAGGTATCTTAGAATATATCTCAAAGCCACTTAGCTAAATTTAGCAAAGTCTACCTGCAATTTATATTCATTGTTTTAAAGCCAAAAGATTTTGTTTTAACTCCTAAGGAGTGATCAAATTATTACAGAATGTCACTGGTTTTACCCAGGTCATGTAGAAAATACCGTTTCCCAGAGAGCTGTTACCTGTTGGTAAAAAGTACTCCTCTTCCATACTTCTGTTCTGTCCTGAAGGTCTGACTGGAAAATAGGAATCATCTAATTGTTATCATTCATGCCCAAGTCCAGCTGGTTTAACATACTGTGTTTCAGTGATACTGACCACCAAACCCCAGAGCGTGCCACAGAAAGATTATCTGGGGTTGCACAATGGTCAGAGTGCAATAGGTGCCCCTTTCTATAAATACAGGAGGCATGTTCAGTGTATTGGTTTTTATTTAAGTCTTATCAAAGAAAAATAACAAATGGGAGTGTCAATAACTCAAGGAAGTTTAAAACTAGATTATATGTTTGGCTTTTGTGTTCAGTTCTTTTATTAATTAATATAATGGGATTTTCTTTCAATTTGTCATATCCATGCTCTGCTGTTCCTCTTGCTGTAAGAACAGACAGCATGCAGAGATGAGTTCCTGAATATTTGGGATTTTTGTGTCTGATCACAAGTCTTCAACTATTTTTACTCTTAGGATGAATTTCATGTAGATTTCCATGCTTATGCTGATTGAGAATTCAGCTAATGCAAGCCACTCTCAGTTTATTCTGCCTAAAGAAATGCTTCTCATTATAATTAATTTGCATTTTATATAATTGGTTTTGTTCTACACCTCTGCATTTTCCCCAAACTAGAAAAAAGAATTTCATTGCCAACCACTGATACGGAAAAAGTTTTGGAGTACACAAGAATTGCTTTTTAATGGTATGTAGAAGTAAAGCACAGTATTTTAATGCAAAACATTATAGATTACTAGGAAGATTTTCTGTAAATAGAATATGATAGAAAAAAACGTTCAGAATACTAGGACTGATATCCATACTTTTTAAAAAAGCACCTTGTGAAAATGTGTGGTTTTAGAAGGGTTATAGCTTTCCATATCCTGGTTTAACAGATGAACATATCATGCAAAATATAGTATCCCATGACAGCATGATGACATTTATTCATTCTGATCATGGACATGGAAAACTAAATATTTGTTGAATGAAGTTTAAATTTAGAAGTTAATGTCTCACATTTCTTCAGAAAACGACGTGTGAAAAGTTGTATTGGTTCTGATCAAGGGCTGATGTAGCTCTGTGTTTTATTTCCAGCAGTGATCATTAACAGACTGCCCAAGGGAAGACTACCATCAGGTCAAGCATATATACCTCCACAGATACTCTCTCAGTCTCCAATTATTTCCAGTTCAGAGAATTTTGTGAGGCTATTGGGATTTTTCTGCTTTTCCCCTCCCCTGAGCTCTGGCTTCCAAGTACATGTTCTGGCCTCCTTTTGAACAGAACCAAAATTTCTTTCTAGTAGAAAATACCACAATCGCTGCTGTCAAAATGTATCATTTTAATTATGAGTTAACATTTTAATGATATCTGTCTTTCTAACGGTACTTCTGATAGCTAACATTTTTAGTACTTTAAAGCTATAATATACTAATTATTTTAGCAGTGAACACATTTTTACACAGGTAAGGTCTTAGCATCTTGCTATTTATATTTCTCAGATTCAGAGGGACTAGCACAAATTCACAGTAAGTAGGTGGCTGGAGTTAATTTTGTGTACAGATTTGGATGCATCCACACAAGCCATTCTTTGGAGTCATGGGAAAACCACTGTTAAGCTACTAGAATTGTGGTAGCAGTAGCTACAGCTGGCATAGCTCAGTGTTGAAGCAGAGATCCGTCCATACTCTCACTCCCCACTGGTTGCTGGTTATAAAGGTGAGGAAGAAGTATTCCATACTCTGATTTTTCACTTGCATATAAATTTGTTTTAACCTGAAATCTTTAAAATTATTTTTATAGATCTAATCTATACAGAGAATGAGTTTTATTTAACTTCCTGGATTTTGCAGTATCAAAAGAATCCATATCCTAAATTTTTAGATAGTATTAGGCAGTAATATGTAGGAATGAAAATCAAGCATATCACACAAATGACCCCAATAGCAAATTTCTAAATGTGGAAGGCTACTAAACTGCTCACAGTTTCTATCCTTAGGCATCAAAACCTCAGCATGGCACACTAAAGCACTTTCCATTTACTTAAAAACTTATGAGTGAGACAACACATTTTATCATCTGTTTATATGCAAAGTTTTCATCCAGAATTTCTAAAACTAATGCTTCAAAACATATGCTCCTTGAGGCAAAGACTGATTTTTATTATGTGTTTTGTACAGTGTCTTCTGCAATACAGAATTGATGCTGAATAGAGTTGTCACTCATAGTTGAATGTGAACACTAAATACCAGGTCAGACACTTACTTCTTTGCAGAGATTCTTTCTGTTTTTGGAGAAAAATGTGGGGCCAATAATTTCCTTCAAAAGCTGCAAAAGGAACAATGCAACACAATGAAGTTATCCTCTGAGCAAAAAAAAAAAAAAAAATTTGTGTATTTATTTATTTTTAAGCATGCTACAAGTCAAAGCAGGGTCAGCATATATGAACTGTGTGCTTCCACACAAAACTGAACGGAAATTATAGTGGAAAATCTGCCAGAAATCCTATGCAATATGAGACTTCCTGTACTTCATACTAAAATCCTCTGCTCCCGTTAAAAAAAAAAAAAAAAAAGAGGGATAAATCTTTGCTCATATTTCTGAATTCTTGTTCCGCCCTCGGGGTAGAAGTAGTGGAGGGAATAGCCAAAACTAGGACAACATGGGAAAAGTATTGCCCCATGTGTTCTTCACAAGAATTATGGGATCTGGAGCTGAAGAGTGGGAAACCCCCAGGCCTTAATTGTTGGTTTTGCTACTCATGCTAAGGCAGAATGATGAAGGTGTTACCTGCTCTCTTCTGTACACCTCCTCACAAAACCTGTTTTGGTTAGGAGAAGCCAAGGAATGTTTAGCAAATGAGGAGCACAGCACGGTCCCTCTTCCATCTCAAACCCAGACCTCCGGCATGTGCACAACTGCACCATGTTTTCACACACACCCAAAGGCTCTTTCACCTTCCTGCCTTGCTTCCTGCCAAAGTGTGATCAGAATGACACATGGAGAAGGGCCACCACAGCCAATCTACAAGCAGGGAGCCCTGTGCACTGCCTGGGCATGGAGTGGGCTTTCATAGAGTCCACAGCTGCATGGTAACAACCAAAGCAAGATGCAAGAATAAGGCCCTGGGGTGCTTCTGAAATGTGATACTCATTTTTACAGTTTCTAATGTCTGGTATTTCTTAGATAGCAGGAGCAAATATCCCATAGAAACCATATAATTCTCTATTATATGTTTAGGATCTTTTGCAACATAGAAAATTTTGTGGCAGAAGGTTTCTTTAATCACATAAACCAGGACAAGGCTCAATACATATCTATATATACACTACAGCTCTGCAGGGTTCTGTTGCTTCCTTAGACACTGCAGTGATTTGAAAGCCTCCAGGGAGCTCACCAGCTGTAACAGCCTCTCCAGCCAACTCCATGCTGTGCTGCTGAATGTGAGGTAATATTTATTATGTGGTATCTCAAGGACTGAAGGAAAACAGGTGAGGTTCTGTTTTTTATGTGAGGCTAGATTAAGGCACAAGAGGGAATTTGGGAAATAAGAGTTTCAGCATATGCCTTTGCTTTGGATCTGAGATCCAGATATCTCCAACTTCCCCATCAGTCTATGCCTCAATTCTTGTCTGAAACAATACTTATTGTAAAAAGATGCTATCTGGATAAACTAATCTAAGTTTTTAAGAGCTAAAATACAACACTGGTGAAATTGTATACAATGAATAGACAGAAGGGAAATAAATCAAGAATGTAAGTTCACTGACAGAAGTGCTCCCACCCTAAATGTTCTAATAGCTTTAAATGGCATTCATTTCAGTCAGTTGTCTAGGCTCCTTTCACAGGCTGTAAAAGTAAATGCAAATTTACTGAGTACAATTTGACTCACAAAACATGTGGCTAACACGGAACAAATGAATTATACACAAAACTTTTATTTCTCTCCATTGATGTAAAAGAAACCTTAGGTGACTATCTGCAGTGCAAATGCCAAGGCAGCAGTTTAGGGAGATGTATTCCTTCCACCCTTCTGTATTCCCTCCACCCTTCTTCCTAGATATTGTGTTAATTTCAAAGGGACAGCGCTCTACAAACGAAAATAAAACTCAACATAACTTTTCTAAGTTGAAGTTATAATAATAATAATAATAATGATAACATAATCACTTCTTGATAAAATAAACAAGAACATTTCCACAAGAAAGAAAGGGCACAAAGCAATCTCATTAGCTGCTGAGTTGCAAGCTGCTGTACTCACTGCATGATCAGCACTTTAACTTCCAAAGTTGTCTGACACTACACATCAGAAAACCATTGTAGATCCTACTCATGCTGCCTTGACCTCTAGAATTGGTCAGCACTGGCCAGTAATTGTTTGAAATTTTGTCAGTGCTTTAGTACAACCTCCACGGTTGGCCTGCAGCTCACCAGGCATTTCCAGAACACATGTTTCTTCCAAGTTCCTGGTGACCCGTGCATCGCAGTATGGACACCACAAAAGGTAACAGAGTCAGTTTGCAGCTATCAAGTTAACACTCTCCGTGCCTAGAGTTGCTGCTGCTATTTCTGAACCCCTGGTTTTTGATACCTCCATTTGTTCAATAATCTATTATTGTTGGTTTAACTGCTCTCCAATAGCTACAGTTTAATCCTAAACTTCAAATACTACCTTTATGGGATTTAAGAGAGTGCAACAGCTGCCTTCCAAGGATATTTGATTTGCAGAAATTGAATATATGCCTAAAACACTACTTCAAGTCAGATCTACTTAGAGAGCTTGATGTAAAGCAAAAGGTCTGATAATTAATGGACAAATATTTTAGATCAGGACAGGTTGGTTTACAAAGCTTATTTGCCAGCTTTTCAAGTTCGAACACCTAAGCATGGCAAACAAAATATAAGATATACTTCAGGTTTGGTATTTAGACTAAATTTGAACATAACAATCATCCTGGGTTACAAGGAGGTGTGAAAGAGTTGTATCAAAAATAACTAAGG